ATTCCAAATAACAGACCAACAGTCCATGTGGAAGATGAATAAATGGAGAGAGTATTGACAGACGAGAAGAATTATTAACGTAATGTACAAGAAAAAGAGTAGAAAAAGGGAAGGGGATGAATATTTAATAGTCTGTCCCTGAGCTTGACGTCTAGCCTCTTGACACATACAGTATTAAACAGGATGGCAGGATGCTCTTGTGTATTTATGAGTGAAACAGCAGGCTGTTGTCTTGAAGATGCTGCAAAGGATTGTAATGTGTGATGCTTTGTCAAATTGAGGTAAATAATATACAAAAAATTGGGTTTGCGGAACAGATAAATATGGAAATGTGTCACATTTTAGTGAATTTTAACAAGCCATTTTGTTCCTTATTTATTTGGATACATGCATAATTGAATGCTCTGGCGGTATTTGCAATGGAACGGCATAATGATAAAAAAAATTTAAAAAGTGAAATTATGCAGTTATAAACGTTTAACACAGAAATATGCATCAACGGAAGATGAAATGGATCAGATCAGATTAGTCAGGAAGGAAAATCATGACTGATATTGTTTCCAGTTTATCACACTGGAAACAGAAGTTCACATCAAGCGCACTGCATTGTAGGATACAGTATTCCATGCAGTGTAGAGTGAAACAGTCTGGTTCCAGATGTCAAATTTTCAATTTATTTTCTCAGTATGGAAATTTTTAATGATAACTGAGAGACCTTGAAAGACAGACCTGTTGTGAGCTCTGGTACATACTATTGTTGAGTCAAGACAGAATTTTATTTTGAAACCCTTTTTTTTTTTTTTTTTTTTTGCAATAATCCAACTTATTTTTAAAATAACCATGTTATCAGCAGAATTCATGGTCAAAAACTACATTACCCATGAGGCTGTGCAGAAAATTCACCAATCAGAGAGTGGCTGTGAGCAAATTGCTCCAAAAGAGCACTGCAGAAAATGTCCTGCTCCTATGAAATGATGAAATGAGCTGTTTCCCTATGCCTTTAAAACAATGAAATATTTGTGTATAAATGTATGCATATTTTGCAAAAAAAACTTAAAATATATTGTTTCTATAGATATAACTAACAACTTTAAATGAATAGTTTTATATTTCACCATCATTTTAATTTGATTGTCATTCCTCATGCAGTGGTTGGCTTGCTTTATAGCTAAACCTCCTTTATCCTAATGCTTTAACAAAGACTTTTTTAAAAATCCCTATAGGAAAAATGAATGTAAAAAATGCCTCTGTAACTTCTGTCTACACAGTAAACTCCTTTGTATACTGCTCTTTTAGACAAATATAGTAGGTTGATCAGGTATTCTTTGCATACTTTATACAGCAGGCTATACAATATACAGAAAATATATTGTTTCTATAGATATAACTAACAACTTTAAATGAATAGTTTTATATTTCACCATCATTTTAATTTGATTGTCATTCCTCATGCAGTGGTTGGCTTGCTTTATAGCTAAACCTCCTTTATCCTAATGCTTTAACAAAGACTTTTTAAAAAATCCCTATAGGAAAAATGAATGTAAAAAATGCCTCTGTAACTTCTGTCTACGCAGTAAACTCCTTTGTATACTGCTCTTTTAGACAAATATAGTAGGTTGATCAGGTATTCTTTGCATGCTTTATACAGCAGGCTATACAATATACAGTACTGCAGCAGCAGCAATGTAATGTTATTCTGATCATAGATTTTTTTAAAGTAGGCTGCATACACTAAGTAGTAATTTAGTACTTTATTTCAAACATAGCCATTGGATACTGCACATTTTGATCCTGCCATTTCATGCAGGTTTGCATACTAATCACATCATAGAATAGTCTACGATTTCAAACATAGCTTTGCTCTTTTCATACTTTCAGAGTGCACTTGATTAATTAGTAACATCTCTGTAATTTGGTTTGTTTGCGCTTTAGGGTACATTTGCATCTGTTGTGTAACTGGAGTTGAGTTGTGTATGTGGAAATGCAAAAGCCACACGTTCATGATTTTACGCTGGGGATCGGCCTCTTTGCGTGCGGCAGCGAGCCGCTGATTTAATGATGCGGGCATTGCGGTGGATGGTGTCTGTGGCGGCGCTCCGCACTTTGGGGATAATAAAGACATGTCAAATCCACTCCTGCCAGTTGGCCACTGCTTTAAAAAGCTGGTTTCATAGGTGTCTTCTTTTACAACTGCTGCATGTTATGTAAAGGATCTTTGGAGATAAGCAGAGCTCTGGCTTTAGGCTGGTGCTGGTCTGCGTATGGCCTGATCATGTGCGTATGTTTTTGTTAAATCCAGGATTTCTGACGTCAAGCCTGTGCACTTGTGTGTGCTCATGTTTCCTTAAAAGGGTGCCTGCCGTCTCCAGTTTGATTCTTATGATGTGCTACCAACTCAGAAGGAATTAATATTTGCATTTAAAGGGACAGTTCACTGAAAAGGATAGTTCACCCAAAATGAAAAGTCTGTCATCATTTACTCACCCTCAAGCTTTTCCAAACCTGTATGAGTTGATGAACACAACAGGAATGTTGGTAAGCAAATGATTGATGGTAGTCATTGACTTCCATAGTATGGAAAAAAAAAATACTATGGAGGTCAATGGCTACCGTAAAAAAATTCTTACTTACAAACATTTGAATAGGTTTTATTCAAACAAACATTCAATGATAATGAAATGTATGCTTGGTTCTCAGGTGGCATTTGATTATGTGGATATGCAAATGAGAGATGAGAACTAACAGTGCTAACGTCTAAGATATCTTGCAAGAAACTCTTGTTGCCAAGTATGGCTTCAGAAGACTGGGAATACAGTGCACATGGGAAATGCTTACATAAGGCACAAGACCATGAGTAATAAATACATATAAATACCAAAACAGAGAGAAAATGTAGCACCTGCCACCAATGCAGGGTTTTGTTACAAAACCCTAATACATAATTGCAGAAGGTGTTCGTTAACACATCTTATGACATTTATTATTGAGCCCACATACATCTGTCAGGTCTGTCTTCACTGATTGATATGTTGTGTTGTAATGTCATTGAATTAGATATAAAATATCAAACCAAGTGATTTCTGCATTCTACACAAAAAAATGTGTTTTTCCCAGAACTAACTATTTGAAGAAAATCTATTTCTTAAATTAACATGGTACTATTCTGGGTAATTTGAGTGATTTAATGCAAGGTAAAGAGAAGGAAGAGGGGCAGGATGTGGAGACAGACATTTTCATGTTGATATGTGTTATTGTTTCCTGTGATTTCGGATTTTGAGGTAATTTCAGTCTTACGGAAAGTATTTTTCAAGCATTGCACTTGAATGAAATAGAGAATTCTATTTTCATGTTGATATGTGTTATTGTTTCCTGTGATTTCGGATTTTGAGGTAATTTCAGTCTTACGGAAAGTATTTTTCAAGCATTGCACTCTTTCAGAGAATTCACTCAAAATGTCTTCTTTTGTGTTAGAAGAAAGAAGTCACAAAGATTTGGAACGATATGAGGGTAAGTAAACTATCTCTTCAACATACAGTTCCAGGGGGACTGAAAGTGACTCAGATGTACTACTCGTTCCTGCTTCATTTTTTATATTTTAGTTTGGTATTCTCCAAAACAGCCATTTTGGGTTCTGTGAAGAGTGACAATTTCACAAGCAGCAGTTTGGTGGCTGTATATTACTGCTCATGTTAAAATATATTATATGATTTAATGTAATAAATCATATAACCTGTTATTATAAAATACATTGATAATAACATGTTATTGCTTAAACGGTACATTGTTAAACACTATCAATATAAGAAACATCAATATTAGAGACTCTAAACCGATAGACTTAGGCTAACCGATAACAAAAATAAGAGAATCTAACGAGTTTGCTTACTATAGAAAATACGGAGCCAAGGCACTTCTTCCAGTTCCATATAAAGGCTTTTTAACATTTTGGAACCAGAAGTACCTTGGATCCATATTTTCTATAGATATAATTTTGAACCCAACCAAAGAGCACCTTCTTGGATTATTAAACGGAGGTCCTTTCAGCAAGTAGCGCTCCAAGATGTTTTCCTGGAGTTTACTACTAGGCCTACTTTATTTTTTTCTCAAAACTTCATTTTAACAATATTTTACTTTAAATGTGTCCCTTTAAAAAGTTACAAAAATGTGTTTAAAATGTTTTAAAAACATAGCTTTTTGTATTCATATATACTTTCCCTTAAATAGTATTTATTATTAAATGTTTTTTTTAACACTGTAATTGAACAAACTTGGACAGTCGAGCCATGATTTTATTTTCAACATTTTATTCTGGATAATTTGCGTCCTCTGGTGGACGAAAGAACAACTGAATACAAACTCCTTGAAAACAATATGAATACAAACGCCACAAAAACCACGTTAAGAAGTAGATCACTTAGGGGATTGATAACAATGTATATTTACCGAGTTCTGCATAAAGCTGTGCCTGCTCGGTTCAGCTGTGGTGATGTCGGATTCGTTCTTTTGAATAGGATCTATAGGCTAATGAATTGGTTAAACAGTGTTTACAAATGTATGTGTCTGACGGGGAAACATTATAATTAGCATATAGGCCTACTTCAGGAAAAAAAAACAACAACAACAACTTAACCGTAGGCCTATAGCATGTTATAAATAAAACGTAGCCTACTAGAAAACTTGTTTTAAACTTGTATGGCAGTTTTATCAAAACACAAGGTTGATCAAACCATGGTTTAGGCTAATAGCCTACATTTCAATAAAACATCTTCAGTCAGAAGTTACATTTAATATCAGCATTCGCATCTGTATATCTAACGGAACTGGAACGCATGAAATTACGATTAACATCCTAATAAAACGTCGAAACGGGGTGCCTATAATATAGCTACGCGCCCTGCTGTTTGTAGTTGTTTTGAAAGAAACCGATGGAAAGATCCGGTTGGCGGAAATCCAATTCTGTAACAGGTTAGCGCTTGTGATACACCACTTCCGCATTCTTTTCGCTTTATTAACCAGGTTGTCAGAGACAGGCGAGAGTTTTGGAAACAACTATTTCTGTTTTTGTAGTCCCCGTGTCAAGTATATACAAAGTCTTCCGTTCTTCTATAGTGTCCGCGGCCAAATGGACCCGTTAGACTTTAAAACGAATGAAGAGTTGCAGGTTTTCTTCCACCGGAAAAAGACGGAGATTTCGTGCATAAAAGAACCGCACAGACTCCTCACTCAGCTGCGCGACCACGATCTGGTGCCAGAGAAACTTTTTAAGGTAGAAACAGCCATCTTTACATACCCACTCTGTGTCACCCACCTTGTTCATTTTATTATCTGACTAACTCTTAACCAGTGGCGTAGCGGACAGGCACACTGGGCATATAACCTCTTCGTGCTGCGAAGTAACTTGTAACTTTATTTGTAACTTTACGCGCGGCTCCGCTTCCGAAGTTGCGCGACTCTGGCCGAACAGGCACGTCTTTACCCGCATCTATATTAATCGCAAGAAGCCTGATGCATAGGCGGAAATCCCGGGGGGGGTGGTCGGGGGAGACAAGACCCCCCCATCTGAGGGTTGTCCCCCCCCTAAAAATATGATTAAAAAAACACGCTGTGTATTGTAAATGTTTTATACTTAAAATAATTGTGTAAGTAGTAAAACAACACAAACGCAAACAGGGGGGGAAAAAATGCGTTTTAACTTTAGAAACATTTTTAGTCTCCCCCTCCCTTGCCTCACAGTGCTTTGGTCTAAATGCTTTCCTCTTTTATATTACACACACAAGTGCGGTGAGAGAGAACAAAGTCAATAGTTGTGAAACTCCAGTAAGTAAGGCTGCCAATTGGCTATTTTATTCACTTAAATCATCGGATGAATGAAGTGATTATTTTCTCTTTGCAAGTGCACAGGACACAGTTTGCGCGCGCACACGCACACTTTGAGTGCGAGGAGAGACCAAGCGGCAACCAGTGTTGCCAAACCCCTCCCTCAGAAAATCTCTAGAACCTCCCTCAAAAGTCTCCATTTTTCACAAAAAGTCGCCAAATATGAAAACAAAGTAAATACAGGTAAATTTGGTAAAGGTAAAGGAAATTAAATATATATATATATATATATACTTTACAAATGATAAAAGTATAAAAAATATAACAAAAGATTAAGTATAACAAAAAATTCTGAAGTGAAATTAGGAAATGCTTGTGATCTGCAAGCACATCAAACATGATGCAAATGATGGAAAGGCACATAATGTTTGGAATTTGTTTTATGTGTCACCAAAGTGCATCCCTGTCCTGCTCAAATACAACAGATAAGAGATATTATGATTCTCCAAAAACAAAAACTTTATTCATACAAACTTATTTCAGTCAACACACTCTATTACTACAAAGTAAGTGCAAAATACTGCATCCCAGCACACATGATACGATGATGCACTGTCTCTCTCTCAGTATCTGGTTGACATGACATGCATGAATTGTGGTATAACTTTTGTGTCCGTGGTTAAAACAAGATGTTCATTTTTTCTCCGGCATCTTGATTGATGCTATGAAATTGTGGTGTGCGTCATGTGTTCACTGCGCAGACTCATTGGCATGATTGAGAGCAAACGTGAGAGGTCACGGGACTACGGCAGGGTGTGGCCAAGTAAAAAAAAAAAAATCTCTAAAAAATCGCTAGTTTTATTTAAATATAGCTAAAAAAGCTCCTTGGCGAAAAAAAAAAAAAAAAAAAGTCGCAGCTACAATGAAAAAGTAGCTAAATTTGGCGACAAAATCCTTAAATTGGCAACACTGGCGGCAATCTCCCGCTCTCTCTCGCGAAGCCAACAAGGAAGTGACAAACTGTAATTCGTCAACTGGCCGCTAGAGGCTGGCTGCAAAGGGAGTCAATCACATAGACTCCCAATGTTAAAATGCCCAACTTTACAGCAGAAAAAAAACATGTTTACAGCCTGGTTCAAAGGTTAGGGGCGCGGCCACTTGAGTGACAGGTGGATTGCCGCTGCTGTCACCACCGTCGAGCTAGGTGGGCATGGTTTCAGCAACCTGCTCCCGCCTCTTTGCCCATTTTCGATTATCCGGGAGTGACGTGCCAAGATGGCGACGGCTGGCTCCGCCTAATTTAGGCTTCAAAAACGCTCTTCGGAAACCTACGAGTGACGTCACGGACACTACGTCCATGTTTTTATACAGTCTATGGGAGAGGCACGTTTTAAGTGCGCACACTCTCTCTGGGTGAAAGTAGCGTGTATCTGAGAGCGCGCGTCCGCAAGCCCAAAGGTACACTATAGATTAATCGCGTTTACAGCCAAACGCAGTCAAATACGCCGTTTTAAACAGTATTTGCGCCGCAAACTACGCTGTTGTGATTACGGCGTGAATATTGCCATATGACGCCGAAAAAAACGCCGTTTTGGTTGCACAGAGCTCACGTCATTTACAGCGTTTTCCTTGTAGTATAATTAGCCACAGCCAGATTTCCACAGCCAGTAAGTTTGAATTGCTCTCACCCAATCAGTGATGAACAAAACCAGACCAAACTAATTCACCATGATCGTTTTAGCGGAAGAAGTGCCTGTGAAAAGATAGGAAATATTTATGTACAAAGTAACTTTTTTTACGCATTTAGCTGTATACGCATACATTTTGTATCGGTGTATCTTTGTGGCAGAATTACAGCACCACATACTGGTCTGGCATGTATACTAGCGGATGTATACTGGCATGTTTTGTGTCGGTTTTGTGGTTTCTTGTGGATGCAGATATTTCTTGAGACGAGGAGAAAAAAAAGATTGGATAGGGAAAGCTCTGGCTTCGTGTGGACGTAGCCTTAGCCTTTTTGTTAGTTTTTGACCCACCACGACCACTGGTTCTTCGATCATCTTAAACGAGTCATATCCTCTGGGTCTGAGTGCAATTATTATTCTATAATTATTATAGAGATTAATCCTGATAAACATGCCGCTACAATAAAAACCATTACATTAAAATACATTTAAAACAGCGTATTTCTATTATCCCTCCTGCAGATCCTCGTCAGGACTGTGGCGACAGCAGCGCGGACAATCACTTACCACGCTCACATAATGTAACCATATTCTATAACGGGAAAAACATATCGTTTTAATGACGTAACATCTCGTTATTACGAGAAAATATGTCGTTTTAACGACATACCATCTCATTATTACGACATAATTGAGCAGAAAAAATAATATGCCTGTGGCAGCAATGTGTCACTGCAGGACTTGAACCAGGGTCAAACACTAACAAAAAGGCTAAGGACCATTGCCTCCAACTTCTGTAGCTGCACAGCTTTTACACATTTCTCTGACTTCCGTTAGCCTATACTATGAACGATGCAAAAGCCTCTAAGTGCCATCTGAAATTTTCTTATAAAATTAGCATTTGTATCAAGCTCCTATGCTTAGGTTCAGTAAGTTTACTTTAGTGGCAAAGTATAGGTCATTTTCTATGCCATTAAAGTGAAATAAATTATCATAAATATAGGAGCCTGATAAAAATGCTAATTTTAGATGAAAATTTCAGACGGCACTTAGAGGCTTTTGCATCTGAACTCTTCATATATATACAATTGGGTTGGTATGCTAAAATGCTGTCCATGTAATATTAATAATTACATTAAGGTATGATAAAGACGTGGAATCGGCCTATGTTCAATGTTAGTAGAGATGAAAATATACAAAAAGTTACTTTGTACATAAATATTTCCTATCAGTTCACAGGCACTTCTTCCGCTAAATGATCGTAGTAAATTAGTCTGGTCTGGTTCTGTTCATCATTGATTGGGAGCAATTCAAATCAGCGGGCGTGGCTCATTATACTACAAGGAAAACGCCGTAACTAACGCGTGCTTTTGTGCAATCAGAACGGCGTTTTTTACGGCGTCCTGTGGCAAGCCGTACAGCGTTAAAAGCGGCGCTTTTTACAAACACCAAAACGCTGTTAAATAAGGCGTTTTTTTTTACCGTTTATGCACGTTTTTTACAGCGTCTGCTATCAGGACAGCGTATTTGACGGCGCTAATGCTGTTTTAAACGCCGTAAAAAACGGCGTTTTGTATCTAAACGCGATTTATCTATAGCGTAATTCTGTTTTTTTTGGCTTGCCATACGAGAGCAAAGAAAATCCACGTGCGAGGGAAGAGATTCGTGCTCGCGCATTATATTAATGTTCGTTCGCGCTACAATAATGCGCTCTTGACATTTGTCATTAAAATAACGCCATCGTCTCCCTGCTACACTAATAGTAGTAACTTAAGTTTTCATTTGTTTACACATCATTACAAGTACAAGTTTAGCTGTATTGTTTGTGTCCCCTTCAAAAACTGCTCTTGAGAAATTTTATGGTTAGTGCCTCCCTCTTCTTACTGATCTTACTATCATGGTATTACCATCACTTTACCATGGTACCTCCACTATACTTACTAACTAAAAGTTATAATGTGTCAGTTCATTGTTTTGCATATTTAGGCGTCTGATCATACATACCTCCATCTTCCTTTATCTCCTTCTCTCTGTTTTTGTCTGTAGAATGTGAAAAACACGCGTACTCGTAAGCAGAAGGAGAAGGGCTTCTATGAGGTTCTGGACTGGGTGGAGAAAAATAGACCTCAGGACATACAACAGTTCTGGCGCTGTGTGTTTGAAGATCATATCCTGCAGCAGTACCCAGAGCTAAGCAAGCTCAGAAGCAGTCTGCTGGATGGTCAGTATTTTTGATTATTATCAGCTTTATGTTTTGTTATCTGGAGGCTCACACTGCATTACTATGCTATGATAAAGCAAGAACGGGTTCATATATATGTACAGTATATATGGACCACTTGCTTTTGTTAAGTTTTTTTTTTTTTTTTTTTTTTTTTTTGTCCCAGGCACTTTCAAAATCTATGAGAAACCTCCGGATGTTGAGATACAGACAGAGGAGGAGAAGAGTGGAGGAAAGGCAGAGAAAGGGAAGGAGAAGAGCTACAAAAGAAAGAGAAGTAAAGATGACAAAAGTAGTGAGGATAGTGATGATCCTGGTCCTTCCTCTACTTCCAGACCCAAGCGGAGGAAACCAGCCAAAAAACCCTCATCCTGTGAGTCCCTGAACTACAGCAGGTCTAATTTCTCTTCAGGGTTTATAGTTAACGCTAAAACTAAAACGATAAAAAACAATTTTGTTACTTGCAATAAAGTAAATCTTAACTAAAAAGGTGATGCCCCATTTATCATCACCTTAAAGGAAAGTTTGTCCAAAATCCTCATCCTCAGGCAATCCAAGATGAAACTGGCAAAACACAAAATTACTAAAATGTGACCTAAAATTAATTCAAAATAATAATAAAAACTATAATAGAATCTCAGTGATACTAAAATAACACTCTGTTTCCTGGTGCCTGATGTCCTATTCCTGTGTTTTCACTCTTTCCTGATCTGTGTCGTCTTCTCTCTCTTTCTCAGCATCTCCTGTGAAGAAAGGTGACAAACAGGAGATTTGGAAGTGGCCTATTTATAAAATTCAGCTGCCTGTAACCTGTGGGGATAAAGAAGGAACTCTCTATCGGGACAAACTGCCCGAAGGTTCACCATCACTAAGTTTTTGCTATAATTTCTCTTAATTTTATTACAGTTTGTGTTTAATATACTTTCTATGGGTGGAAAGATCAGTCTGAATGCATCCTGTCCTTGTCTCCTGTAGGGGAGAAGTGTATTTTGTCCCAGGGGCGCTGGTTCACCCCAAATGCTTTTGAGAAGTTTGCGGGGAAGGAAAAGTGCAAAAGCTGGAAAACCAGCATCCGCTGCAGAAACACACTGCTTAAGAAACTCATCGAAGTAAATAATGCAAGCACTTACAGATTGTTGGGATTCTTGGGATCTTTGTTAAAAACAAGGATTTGGAAATTGTCCTTGGTTTTGCTGTAAACTTACTGTACACTGCATGCACAAGTTAACTTTTTAGTGGCATTTTTAATTGATTTCTTAATCGGTACATCCACCACTGTTTTGAAAGAAAACTGCACCTTTTTTTCTATTTAAAAAAAAATATTTGATTGTACAACTCTAGGAACTTATCCACCTTTTTCTTCAATGCGGAAGTAAGCCTATGGGCGAGACTTCCAGTTCATTAGCCGCTATAGGGAAATAACGAGAAGAATAACAACGTGCAGTAAACGGTAAATCTGTTTGCACTACAAACCAGTGTGTTCATAATTAAGATTAAAATAATATGGTAAGACACACGTTTTCAATATCAAGCAGCAAAACGAACTGTTTTGTACAGCTAAAAATAGCTAGACGCGGATGAGACCGGAAGCTAGACCCATAGAATTTACAAATGGCCGCGTCCATTTTTATGGCAAGAAAAAGGTGCAGAGCCTATAGCAGGAACGTGCTTCTAATAGAAAGCAACAGAAGTACAGCACATATTTTTGTATCGACTAGGGCTGGGAAAAAAATAACGGGCAATTATAGGCCTATTTTGTTTGAATAAATCCATCAAGTTTGTATGACAGCCACCATTTAAATGTTTATATTTTAAAAAAATGTATTGGAGTAGAAACATAATTATGTAATTGTAACTTTATTATTATAAAAACTTAACTGAGTGTAATTAAGTGTTTGTATACAAATCAGTTCATTTTAACACACAATATTAAAATGTAGTACCAACTGACTCTCTTGTATATTTTACAGCATTAGTTGAGAGGTTTTTTTTTCTTGAGAAAATTTTCCATGTAATAAATATACCTAATATATATATCCAAAATAATCGATATTGGAAGCAAATCAAATTGTAAGCTTTTGAATAGAAATTGAATCACATTGTGAAATTTGTGTCAATACCCAGCCCTAGTATTGACCCTTTAAATTTATAACATATGAGATAAATATGTAGTTACATTAAATACAGCAGACCCCTGATATACATGTGTGATCAGTTCCTTTCTCATTTTTTTTTCAGGAGGGGCATCTTCTGTGTCCACAGAGGAAGAGTACAAAGAGAACACAAGTCCAAAAAGTACTTTGTCACTCTATGTGCAATGTCAGGTTTTACTTTTCCTGTTTTTCATTTGACATTCATTAAGTTACTTTGTTGCTTCCTGCAGAACACGAATAAGCTGTTTACTGTCATCTTAAACAAGAGGTTCAGTGAAGGTGAGTACCCATAATCCTCGCTCATTCACACGCTCTCTGCTGCCTGTCTGAATGCAGTAATGTGTTTTATTCCTCAAGACTCAGAAACAAGCTTCGGTTTCATGGAGGAAAGCGATGCTGAAGATTTCCAAAAGCAGGGAGGGAAAGGAGGAGGAACAGAGTTTAGAGGGAGAGCTGAGGAAGAGGAGGAGGAGGAAGAAGAAGACATGGCAGATATGTCTGTTTTCCAGGCTTATTCTTTACCAGTCACCTGTGTTTCACTTACTGGGACTCTGTACAAATACAGGTTTGCGTCAGGTACGTTATTGCACAGATTTGTGTGCAGAACTCAGTTTGTTTTGTCTGTGTCAAAGGTTTGAGTGGGAAGTATTTGTTTATTGTTGTGTTGCAGGGAGTCGTGGGAAGTGTATACGTACTGAGGAAAGATGGTTCACTCCGGAGGAATTTGTAAAGCAGGAACCGATTCTCACTGATGGACACTGGAAGAAAGATATACTGTGCCATGGAAAAATGCTCAAATTTTTACTCAAGGTAACAAATGGGAGGGATAGCATATAAAAGTATGATTATGTAATTTATGTATTTGTTTGCTTGTTTGTTTGTAATTTCTAGAAAGAAATCCTGCACATCCATTCCCTTCAGTGTGAATGTGAAAAATGCTGTACTAAAGAGCAAGATGTGGTGAGAAACATCTCTACCTGAAATATTTGATCATAAGCAGTCATCATAAAAATAATTTATGATATTAACTTAAATTCTTAAGTCTATTAAATGTGTACAGTTGAGGTTTCAGAATCTGCAAAATGTTAATTATTTTACCAAAATAAGAGGGATCATACAAAATGCATGTTATTGTTCATTTAGTACTGACCTGAATAAGATATTTCACATAAAAGATGTTTACATATAGTCCACAAGAGAAAATAATAGTTGAATTTATAAAAATGACCCTGTTTAAAAGTTTACTTAACCTTGATTCATGTTTTTTCCCTCTGGAGCATCAGTGAGCGTTTGAACTGTCTGTAATTTCATATGAGTCCCTCAGTTGTGCTCAGTGTGAAAAGATGGATCTCAAAATCATACAGTCATTGTTGAAATTGTTCAAATACACAAAAATGCTGCAAAATCAAATAATTTTTCTGAAGAATACAAGGGACTCATGAACAACTATCACTAAACAAAAAACACAGCTGTGGATCATTCAGGTAACAACACAGTATTAAGATAAAAATGAACTTTTCATTTTTATACATTAAACTATTGTTTTCTCTTGTGGACTATATGTAAACATCTTTTATGTTAAATATTTTATTTAGGTCAGTACTAAATAAACAATAACATGCATTTTGTATGATCCCTCTTAGTTTGGTAAAATAATTTACATTTTGCAGATTCTGAATGTAAATGATGTAAACTTTGACCTCAACTGTACATTAATGGGTACATGATAATTAAAATGATTTTCATAGAATAAAGTCGTGAAAATCACTGAACATTTTATATATAACAATTTTTTATTTTTTTTATGTTGTCTTTATTTTTTAAATTTTACATTTACTCATGCTTCACTGGTTCACTGGTTCTAAACCTTTATTGATGAGTTTCTTTCTTCTGTTCCCTTTATGGTTATGAAAATGATGTCAATGTTAAAAAAAAAATCTTGGGCCTACAATTTTTTTCCTTTTGCAGTAAAATATGACTTGTTGTGTTTAGATTTCCATACATCAAAACAAGATTGTAATATAGAAGAGCAAAATGCACTATTTCTGTGATGATGATAAAATGTTATGTTTTGTCATGTCGTCCTCTGACTAGACGGCCCAGAACAATGATGACGAGTGTTATGTGTGTCGCTCTGAGGGAGATCTTGTGTGTTGTGACGAGTGTCCACGAGCTTTTCATTCACACTGTCACCTACCAACTGCAGACGGAGACTCACCTGGGTGAGAGAGACAAACAGAATAGAAATCATTAAATCAGAAAATCAGCAAGCAATGCTGTACATTCATTCTGTATATGTGTGTGTTTGCTTGTAGGGAATGGATTTGTACCTTGTGCGTGTTAAGAAACAGTCTGCAATGGTGTGACCCCAGTAACATGTCTGAACAAGAAGCTTTCAATGCCCCAGTGTCTCAATACAGATTGGTACACACACACACACACACACACACACAAATTCAGCACCTTAATATAAAAGATAACCATAAACATTTAAGGTGCTCACAATTTGTAACAGCCCTCAATGCCCTTAAGTGCTGCCTACATAGGCTGCTCAGCAGGTTTAGAAACAGAACAATTATTTATGGGCCTAATTGTGGATATCTGTGTTGTTTGTGATCTTTAGCACTGCCACTGCCTCCTGTTATGTGTGTACAGAGAGGACATCAAGAAGGTGTTTAAGGATCCACGACAAATGGTGAGATTGCCTCCTTTTTTCTTCTTGCTGTCTTTTACATGTGACCCAGCTTCAGAATTTTACTCTTTTCATGCCTTAGTTTAATTTAAAATAGTTTATAAATAGAATAAAAGTGATGAAAAATATGACTTGAAATAAAATGACTTCCAGGTGTCCAGATACTCTGAGGTCATAACTCGGCCGATGTGGCTGGACAGAATAAAGCAGAAGTTGGAAAGTGGAGAGTATCAGACAGTAGGAGTGTTCGTCTCTGACTTTCAGCTCATTTTCAGCAACTGCAGCAAGTTCAGTGGGGTAAGATTCACTGAAACATGTTACATAATAAATAAATCACCAAATAACAGATCAATAGCTTGTTAAAATGAAGTTGTTTTGCAATCTTATATGTGAACACATATCTTGGACATTATTGATGATTATTGTTGAGATTATTAACTTTACAAGAGGACATTTGATTTTTGACAGATTTTTTTTTTGTATTTTGCTCTCTAAAGGACAATGAGTTTGGCCGAATGGGTGCCAGGCTGAAGCAAATGTTTGAGGAAGAGTTCCGTAAAATCTTCAGTATCCAATGACAGCTCTCTTTTACAAGTCTTTCGAAGATACAATTGAGATCTGAGTATCTTTAAATATTCATTAGATCTCATTACTGTGTATATAAGATGTTTACAATTTTGAAATTTGAAGTCCTGCATTATAGGACAATGGATTGATGCAATACATGACTTAGTTGCTGTTTAACACTGTACATCTTTTTTTTTTTGTAATACTATCTTTCCAGTGCAGTGAGGGTCTCTGTACTTTTGCGTCCATTCTTTTTTTCATTTTTTAACCCAGAAACGAAATACAGAAAATGCAGTTTCTTCTTAAATGATTCAAACACTGATTAATAGGATAAGCAGACAAAAACTACTTTTCATTATTCAAAATTCATATTTCACTAAAAACTGTAAAAGTGGTGTTTTCACTTACCGCTCAAAACACCACAGTTGTGTTCAATGCTGCATGCTCAGGAGTCTCTCATTATAACAAAGTGTAACATGATGTAAATCAGAGATTCATTGTGCAGTGTACAGCTTCACTGATTATAACAGAACTTTGTGAGACTTTGATCAACTGAAATGAGCTTTTTAGTAACAAGGGGAGCGCTCTTTGCGTGATTTCTTGGCTACAATTCATTCGGAATTTGAATATGTTTTGTTTTTCATGATGCTAAGAGGACTGCTTACACACTGCAAAGTTTCGGGAGTGACATTCACATATGAATGCGGCATTTATATGCGGATGTGCAATGATAGTGATAACCATAACAATGGACAGGGCAAAAATATGTCAAAATAGATGTACATTAAGGCTTGATTCTGGAACCAGGCCTGCTTGTATCTGGAGAAGTAGGAGAAATGATCATTTTATATATTTATATATGCTATTTATATATTTAACCCATATTTTATTAAAGCCTCGTGTGTAGCGCTCTGACACAATGTAGTGTACGTGTTTTGAGCAACCATGCATGGTCCTTTCTGATACTGTGACCCAGACAGCACACAAAATTATAACCCAATATATAATTTCATGACGATAAACTTCCCAGGATTCTGCCATGCCTATTTTAAAGTAATGTATTAGGTCTCTGCATTGCTATAGTTATATTCAACTGAACATGCAGGGAGAAGAATTACTTCTAATTTGGCCAAAGAAAACTTATAAAATCGTCATTTTTCTATATTAATTTGTGCATTTTGAACATTTTTATTAAAGGTGTAAAAAGTCATAAACAAGCATGTGTGGGCGGCCATGAAACTCCCCTTTCATCTGATTAGTGAACCCTCCCCCATCTGGCTGTACTACATGTACACAGTATATGCGACAACCACAAGCTCAATTCATTTTGAAGTGGGAGAGAAGCGGCAGGCAAGCCAAGCTTGTTTCACGAGAATCCTGCGGCTTTGTCATGTAGACTTACCAGATAAAAAAAACTCTTTTTACAGCTGCTGAGTGTTATTGACTAATCAAAGATGACTTTATTCATAACCAATAAAATGCTATTTGTCTTTTATGTGATCTTAGAAAGCTGACATCACAATTGTCATGGAGAAAACTTTAGCTATCCTAGATGCTAAACTTTTTTTTTTTTTTTTTTGTATTGTATAGTATTTACTCTTAATATATATTTTAGTGTGTGATCATTTTGAACCCTGTTTGAAAACTTTAGCTGCCAAGTGTTTTTTTCCTTTACCTTAGTCCTCAGAAATTGCAGAAGTGTTCACACCTGAAATACATAAGGGAAATGACAAAGACAAACACAAAAATGTATACAGGTATTGAACCCTTTTTTTTTTTTTTTTTTTGGTGTGTTAACCTCAGTCATCTTCTTTCCTTTTTCGGGGAAGTTGCTGTTGCTGATTTAGTTGGGTTTATTTTACTAAAAAAATGATCCACACCCTGTATTGTCACATAATAAAAGATGCAGGCCATTATTATTTAATAAAATGAAAATGCTCTGTCCTCCAGGTTTGTGTGTCCATATGCTGGTCATTTTTGTTGCAGTCTGACCAGCCTTGTGTTTGTGATGGAGGGTGAAGGAGAGGTGCTTTATAACACTGTCTCATGGGATTCTCATCTGTTAGAACATTTGGGCCGTGTTATGCAGCCTGCAGGACCCTTGTACGACATTAACTGTTTTAATGGTTCAATCTCAGGACTGCACCTTCCACACTGTGAAATATTCTCAGGTATGGTAATTTCTACATTCTAAATGTGATGGATGCATACAATTCTCTCAGTGTGAGGGTTTAAATAATCAGCTTTGTTGGAAAACCATCTGCATATATTAATAAAATATAATTATCTACTATTTTTATGTGTTTTACAGAGGAAGACATGGATTGTTTAGCTGTAGCACATGTCACTGGTGGTAATGTAGCAATAATGAATCCGCTTAAAGTGACTGAAGCTTATGTGATGATTGACATCAAAGATCTCTCCATCTTTGGGCTCATAAAAAGGATGATCTTTCCTCCTTCCCCTGTCATTGCCCAAGTACTTGTCTTTCTGCGACCAATAACTGTGAGACAGGAAGAAAACATACTGGATGTCCATTTGCTCCCATGGAATGTTCCACTGTCAGAGGTATCAATATTTTTTGTTTAAATGATAATATAAAATTTAAATTGGTCTTGACATTTGGGTGGGTTTGTATTAACATGCACTCTGATCCATATCAAAGGAGCACAATGTTAATAATTTACCAGGGGTTAACATCGTACATTCCTAAACCCCGGGTTCACATTCTTATTTGCATATTTGTGGTGTTAATGTCATTGATTGGATGAATACAGCATACAACCTGTTTACATCAAGGCTCTAGCATATCACATCCTCATATTGCAGGCTATACTATTTCCTGAATTGACTTTTCAGGCTGTGAAGGTAAAAAATTCACTTCAAATCATGTATTTTTTCATCACCATTTGACTTTTTTCCCCCATCAAACGCTGAAACAGCTGTTTATACGTGGTGTTTCTGTGACTGTCCAAAGCACGATAATATGAGGCACGTGATTGGTTGATAAGCGTCTGATCGTAACATTCTAACAAAGGGTCATTTCATATTGTATAATTTTGACACCACAATGCGAAAGCGGCAATAACCCTTCTCTGGAGCAGGGTTCCATAATCCTGTTTAAAAAGTGGTTCTAACCCTGCTTCTAAATTACAAGTGTGAAATTTCTTTAGGGTTAAAAGCAGGGTTTAAAACTATGATAACCTTGAGTTAAGTGCAGTGTGAAAAGCCCTAAAGTGTAGATGTAAATAAGAGATTCACTGCAGTGTAGTCAACTTTGATTGTGAGAATGCAGAACTAATGAGCTTGCGATGAAAAGACTGACAGCTTCAGTGATTATACAAGGAATATAATCTATTTACAGTTTGTAAAGGCTTTAGTTTTTCAACAATTTCTTGTCTTCCGTGTTTACTTTAAATTTCACCAAGCTGATTACTCACTAAAAACTCCCACAGCTCATATTTTCATGCAATTTTAAGTCTTAAGTTTTGACATAAAAAAGTTGTTATATCTAAGTGTGTGAATTGTTTACTTACCTTTTTAAATTAGTCTTCCCATTAATGCCATTATATTGCTCATTCAGACTGATTCACGAACGCACACAAAGAGGTGGGATTTCCCAGATGAACCAATCACAGCCGATCATAACCAGTCATATCCAATCATATCGCGATGGAGGCATTGCCTCCTCTCACGTGGCTTTCCCCCATTCATTCTCAATTTCCCCCCAGCAAACTCGCGACACACCTTAGGGGGTCTGTTAAAACTCAATGGGCTCAGGAGAGGCGAGAGAGACGCGGACTCCCGCTGTAACTTTACCTGCTGGTGTTGCTGTTGGACAATGTTTCTTTAGAAAAACGAGTGATTTATACACTTTGTAATGTTATATTTTGTAATATTGGTGTTGTTGTTGTTTGTACTATGAATTTTTTTCTCATTCGAGTTTTTGAGGAGGTACTGCCTCCCTTGACTCCTTGGGGGAAACACCCCTGCCTAAAAGTGAAATTTTTTAATTGTGTTAAAGGGGTCATATGATGCTGCTAAAAAGAACATTATTTTGTGTATTTGGTGTAATGAAATGTGTTTATGCGGTTTAAAGTCAAAAAACACATTATTTTCCACATACTGTACATTATTGTTTCTCCTCTATGCTCCGCATTTTTGAAACGCGTCGATTTTTACAAAGCTCATCAGTCTGAAAAGCAAGGTGTGCTGTGATTGACCAGCTATCCAGTGC